GAAGAAAATCTCTCCCACAAAGTCTCCCGCTGATCCATGCAATGCTAGAACATCTCCTTACAAATTCTCTCAAAATCTCCTCTCCAATCTCTCCAAAAGGGTAGAAATCTACATTTCTACTCCTATTCTAAAAACCCCTAAACTTTCTCCACACTTTTCCTAACATTCCTCCCACACATAACCCCTTTTTCTAACCTAAATTCGTTCTTTTAAAGTGTAGGGATGAACTTTGAAGAGTTGCCACATGAGTCCTTTCAAAAAGCGTCCAAATACGTTGAATTTTGGTCAATACCCGCCAAAAGTCGGTCCATAGTCGTCCCGGGCGCCTTCGACGGGCTCAAGGGCGCTGTCGATGAGCTTTTCTGTCATTTTTCGGTCTTCTCAAGTGAAACTCGCAAGTGAATCTCGCCGTTGGTGAGGAGACTGCGCAACTCCACCGTTTCGCTCCGTTTGGCTCGGTTTTAGCTCTGTTTCGCCCCATTTCAGTTGCGTTGTGGTCCTAACAGATAGCCCTACAAAATAAGCATGAAAATAACCTTCCTTTAGAGTATAATATGATTCAAAAATATGCAAGAAGTGTAAAAAGAGATTAAGCATCGAAAGGTGACAGGGCAAAATTTCATTTCTTGCTCGTTTTTGCTCCAAATTGCACCGTTTTTGCATCTTTTTGCTCCAATTACCATAATTCATTATATCTACAACAAAACATCAAAAATACCTTTATTTAAAGTGCAATATCATCAAAAACAGTGTAAAATAGGTATGAAAATCTCAACATATAAAATAGGTATGAAAATCTCAACATATTTTCCTTTGGTCATGTAACCACAATTCTCCCACCTTTCCGATGACAAGGTGGTGTGGGTAGTGTATTTATGCCACCTAGTGGCATGATCACGCCATCAGAAATTCAGAGGAATCTTGCTCTTAAGTGCATAATGATGCCTCCCTTCGTACCTTTTCATCTCTTCACTCTATATTAGCCTCCCTTTCCCCTTGGACACTTATGGACACTTCCTTCTCCCATTTCTTTCCTCCCTCTTTTGTTCTTTCAATCGGTTGTTTGTATCCTCTTGTCTAGAACTTTTTTGCATTCTTCATTGCAAGTCTCTTCTTCCTCCTTCTATTCCTTTTGGCTTCTTCTTCCTCTCCTTTCCTCCTTCACTTCTTCTCGATACTCACATCACCACATGTTTCTTCTTCTTCGCTTCAACCATACTTTTCATCCATTGTCTTCTTCTTCTTCAAATTACCTCTATCTCCTTACTTATTCTACAGGGTATTTATTATCTTTCTTCATTGATTTTTTTGCTTGACTTTCCTTCTTCCTTTATTCTCTACACCACTACACCACACTATACTTCTTCTCCCAGGATGACACTCTACTTCTTCTCATATCTCTTTCTCTACTTCTTCTCTAATTCTCTTTCCATTGTTCCTCTTCTAAACCTTCCTCGTTATTCCTTAATACATTTTCTTAGGTGGCTTATCTATATAAAACCCAATTCATGAGAATTTTATTTATGTAACTTTCCTTCATGGGTTTTAATCATAAGTGATTTCTCATGTTACAAATGAAATACTTGTATTACATGCTTAGGTTAGTTCATGTGATCTCTCATGTTATATATGAAATACTTGTATTCCATGCCAAGGTCATTCCATGTGATCTCGCATGTTATATCTGAACCACTTAGACCCCATGCTTAGTTTTTTTCTTTTTTGTTGTAACCCACATATGAATTTCTTTTATGTAATTTTCTCTTGTAAAAAATAATTTGCCTGAAGTGTAGTCCATACTATATGTCCAATGTATGAAAGTGTAAAAATAAAAAATGCGAAGAACCTCTTACATATAGGTTCTCCTTAAAAAAAAAGATAATAATTTTAAATACATGTCATTTTGCAATTCCATGTGGTAAAAATGAAGTTTAAAAAAAATCAATTATAAGTTCTAAGTGTAAAAATTTTAAAACCATTCAACAGAAGAAAATTTTTAAAACCATTCATTAAAATAATTTAAAATGTATTTTTAAAATAACTTAAAAGAATTTAAAAGAATTTAACATAATTTTAAAAACAATAATAATTTAAAAGTAATTCAAAAAATTTTAAATAATTTTAAAGTAAATTTAAAAAAGTTTAAAATAATTAAAAATGAATTATAAAAAGCTATAATATTAAAAAATAATTTAAACAATTTAAAAATGATTTTAAAATAATTTAAAATAATTTAAATAATTTAAATAATTTTAAAAAATTTAAAAAGCATTTAAAACGATATAAAATAATTTTAAAATAACATAAAACATTTTAAATAATTTAACCCTTCTTTAAAAATAGTTTTAATAAACTGAAAAATAAATTTAAATAATTCAAAACTAATATAAAAACAAATTAAATAATTTAAAGTCACTTTAAAAGAAATTTAAAACAATTTAAAATAATTTAAGGTAAATTTAATAAAAATTAAAATAAGCTTGAATATGTTAAAAACAATAAAAAATAATTTAGAACGTTTAAAAATGATTTTAAGAGAATTTAAAATAAATTTAAATAATTTAAAATAATTTAAACTAATTTTAAAAATGATTTAACATTATTTAACTAATTTAATTTTAAAAATAAATTATGTCAAACATTTGTTTGTTAAAATGCAGACCAAACGAATATCTAAATTTATTTTCTTAAAGTAATTAAACTCATCGTAAAGTGATATTTCTATCTTTCAAGATAGTATATTACTTTTGATGTTGTGTTTGATTATTTAAATAATTAAATATTTGAGATTTGTCTAGTCCCTTATTTTCAAAATCCAAAATATTAAGCCAACAAAATTAAATATGAGGGTTCGAGTATGAATCATTGGAGGCAAATAAACTTTTGATTTAGCAAAGAAATCAATTGCTAAAAGATCTCTCCAAGACCCCAATTTTAATGGGGATATAACCATTAAAGACAACCATACGTGCGTAAAGACCTAAGGGTGGCATAGGTCTAAATATGTTGTTTTACTAAGGCCAATCACTATAAATAGGTGGTGCAAACTGTAAGACGACAGAGCCCGGTGAATTTTAACCATTCACTAGAGCTGAAGAAACCTTTTTTTTCTTTGATATTCCTCATCCCACTCATTATCACATAAGCTTAGCTGCTTAGTTATTCTTCTCTCTCTCTAGACCCTATTTTCTATCCTTCTAAACTCAACATTATACACCACAACTCAACATTATATTCACTAGAGCCTGGTCATTATCGCCTCAACTCAGGTGCTTAGCTATTCCACTCTCTTTTTTTTTTGTCTACCCTCTATTCTCTCTTCATTTTAATTTTCGTCTTTTTTAGCGTGATTTAAGAACAAATTCAGGTTCAATAGATATGTAAATACATATGAACTGGGTGACATGTATATAAATGCCCCAATTTGTATGAGTAAGGAATTTTGGAACTCGGTCACATGTATATAAATGCCAGAATTATGCCAAAATTTTAATGAAAGATTTACATACTATACAAATCTCATGTATTTACATATCTAATGCCAACATTTAAATTTTTACACATATGACATATCATTTTACCCTTGTTTAAAATGTGTTATAATATTTAAAAATTAATAATAATAATGTTTTTTATATAATATAAAAGATTTGAGCCTTATAAATATAAAAATAAAAAAGTTAGGCGACTATATGTATCTACTAATTTTTGTGTGGTATGTATGTAAAAGCTATCCGTCTCTCACTGTTGTTTTTCTCCTCGCACTTGGCCTTCTCGTCTTTTATCTTGAGATGGCGATAAAACTTCTCGCCGGGACGCCGAGTTTGTCGTCGCTGCCGCCTTACTCCGTGGGAGCTATATTGGAGAAATCATTTATCGGCGGTGACTCACTCATTGGCTTCCTTCCCGCTGCTCCCAGTATGAATGATTGTGCCACCTAGCTTATTACTTTGTGCACGTTCTATAGGTTTTCAAACTGTTCAAGTTTTGTATTGTATGGGCTTTCTTCTCAAGATTAGGGAACCGATTCTTATCGCGGAGCGGAAGAAACTGATTTAATACGTGTTTTGAAAACCTCCTCCTGTAGTTCATGAAACCTGATTCAAGTGCAAAGTTCAATTTTCATGATGAGTTTATAACTTCTCAAGTTATCGATTGCCCAAACTTCTAGCCTATAAAATTTTCCACCATCTTACAAAATTTTCCTTTCAGTCTAAGCTATACTCTTCTATCACAGAATAGGCCCCATGCATTCCTCCATTTCAACCAACCAACTTGAATTCTATTAATAACATCCCCATCTATATTACCATCACTTTGAACAATAGCTTTGACACTTTGAACAATAGACCCGAGATATCTAAAACGTTCACACTTTAAATCATGATTTGATCACCCATAGTTACAACTCTATCACTAGAGCTACTATTACTAAAATTACATTCCATGTATTCAATTTTAGATCTACTCAAATGAAAGCCTTTAGACCCCAATGTAGATTTTCATAATTCAAGTTTTTCCTAAACTCTTTCTCTAGTCTTATCTACAAGAAGGATATCACAAATGAAAAACATACACCAATGTACTTTCTCTTGTAATTGTCCAATAAGAGCATCCACAACTAAAAGAAAAAGATATGAGCTTAAAGCCGATCTCTGATGTAATCCAACTGAAATGGGAAAATACTCGGTCAATCCTCGTTTTGTTCAAACACAAGTAGCATCTCCAGTATACATATCTTTAATGACTTGAATATAAGTCATATCAACACCTTTCTTAACTAGAACTCTCTAGGGCGTCTCTTGGAACCTTATCATAAGCTTTATCTAAATCAATAAAAATCATATATAGATCCTCATTATTCTCTCAGTACTTCTCCATCAAACCTCTCGATAAATATATAGCTTGCATAATAGGCCCGCTCGATATAAATCCAAACTGATTATGAGAAATCTTTATAACACGTCTTAACCTATGTTCAATTACCCTCTCCCACAATTTTAAAGTATTACACAACAACTTAATTGCTCTATAATTTGCACACTCTTATACATCCTCTTTTTTCTTAAAAATGGGGACCAAAATCAACTTCCTGTACTCCTCGGGCATCTTTTTAGTTTCTAAATAATATTAAAGAGTTTAGTAAGCCAAGGAACTCCCAAATCTCCTAAATAGACTTACTCCAAGTGATAATGAAAGGATTATGTACATCATAAAATTATTAATTGAATTTACTAAGTGCCTTGGAAGAACTTTATTAATAAGTTATTGCAGTGTTAAGATTGGATTAATACTATTAAATGACTTAGTTGTGTCAATCTTGAAAAGAAGTGCCCAGGGGAGTTTGAGGAAGTAAAATATTGAAGGACTTTCCTAACGAGGATATTGTTGTCAAAGATCATTATTTCTTTATCGATGGCAACTTGTATTGAATGGATAATAAGATGACTAATTGTTGTTAGGCGATTAGCTGTCAATTACACGATATTGCAAGGGATATTGGTCTATAACCTGAAATACTTGGGGCATGTATTGTTGCAGGAAACATAGTATTTGCAAATTGCTTAGTCCCCCTCCTAACCCACCCACCCAATGTGGAGGCTAAAGAAATTAGTAACATTTTTATCATTCGATTGCCAATAAGATCCTAATAATTATAAAAATAATCTAAAACATGGGCGGATATAGTATTTTTATCATTACGTTAAAGGGTAGTCAACTTCAAAGATGTCCTGATTAGAGAAAGGTAAAACCTGCTTGCATGTCTAAATTTAAATCACGCCCTATGATAACTAAAAAGGGAGAAAATGTGATGCTAAGTTTAGGGGCAAATGAAGAAATTGATAGCTTCATGAGCAATTTCTTTAGAGTTTGTAAGAGATACAAATGGGATAGAAAGTGTTTTTTAATAAAATTTCCTTTAATTTTAATCTTCAAAATACAGAGATTTCACCTTTGGATAACCACTTAGCTTTAACTCTTTGGAAAAGTGGTTTTTCTTTTAGAATTTATATCAAGAATGAGCGAGTCTTTAATATTTTTAGTTTCATGTAAATGATTATGATCAATAAGAGAGATTTCCAGTAAAATAAAGATTTTAACTTGTTCACTTTTTAGAGCAATAAAATGTTACATAGACTATCTGAGCTATTTAAGGAACCATTTTCGGAATTCAACATTTTTGAATTTTTTTTTTTATATAGCACTAAGATATAGTCACTTGACGCAGAAGTCTTCTAGGCTTTGTTCCCCTCAGGATTGTTCCTCAAAGTTGGCTCTAGTGGTACCATAGGCACTCTTCTCTATGTCTAGCTCAACGGCAAGCTCATAAGCATGCAAAGTTGCCTTGATCAACATTTCTTTCATCACTTTGCATGTCTCTAGCTACTTGGTCTAAAGGTTAGCCTCCAGCTCGGTTGCATGCTTCATTGACATTACAAGTATCCTCAATTGGTGGTCTATCTTCATCATTTCCTCCTTAGTTTTCACCACCGCAGGGTGCAACAGCTGCTCCATAACCATCAACTCCCACAGGGCACCAATAAGCTATTTGACTGTGCAATTCACTTTTGATAGGCTGCTGGCCTCCATCACTGATTTCTATTGTAATTCTTATTTCTCATTCATGATGAAATAAACAAAATAAAGATTTCAGAGTTGCAACTATCATTTCTGAGTAACCCTCGAAAGCGAGAGGCTCTTTTCTTTGTTGGTGTTATCCCATTAACTAATTTGTGTGTGATAGGTAACCTTTCTCCTTAAAATGACTCCATACGCCTAACCCATAAAAATTTCTCTCATCCTTTCATTTCTCTCCATAAGTATTAATTATGTTTTAAAAGTGTTTAGGCTATGTACTTTTTTTAGTTCGTTTATTCAATTCTTCAATGGAATACTCTGTCTTCTTCTTCAAACTGGATATGCTTTTTTCCTTTCCATAATTTATTAAATTTTTTACCATGCAATAATATTTATTCTTTTTATATAGGTCAAGTAGTCAATGAAAGGTTCAATATCATCATATCAAAAAGATTATCAGGGTTGGAAGAGGCCATGAGAATTAAGAGGTAGTTTATCATGATGTGATTTTGGGAGTTAGTGTAACTCTTCACTTAATGAACATTGTAAACTGTATATCAATATTATTTAAAGTTTTGCCATTAAATAAGTTGTTAAGTTGTTATTCATGTTATTGATTATTAATAATAATCTTTAGATATCTTTCTTAGAATGTCTTTTTAATCTGGTTCCATCTTATTTTCTCAATTTGCAACTATGCAAAACTATACATGTTTAACTTGTATTCTTCTTCACAGGATAATGCAATATCTTCCTTCTCACCTGAACATATTGGGGCTTCAAGGGATATAGTGATATGCATGTTTCAGTTCTAGAATTTCATCATCGTCATCAGTTCAGCTATTTGATTTCATCTTTATGAATACTAACCTACAATTCATTGAACAAAATAACTGGAGGCTCCTTCATATAAAAAATGACAAAATCCCTAATATGTCCTTTTATTTAAAATAGTTAGAAACCGCTTGGGATTCAATTTTCAAAATAATGCAAGTCCCATGAAACAACTTAAAAAAAAAAATTCTGAAGTGCGTCTAACTCCTCAAAATAATACAAATGTCCCTTTGGTCTCTTTATAGAAAAAAAAATGTCTCAGTCATGGACATGCAAAGTTAGCAAGGGTATTGATTTAATATTAACTTAGTTGATTAGATACAATGTTAGGGACCTAGGCATAACTATATTGATTCTTAATCATACTAAAAGTCGTAGTTGAGCATTAACTGCAAAATGTGCCCAGGAACAAATGCCCTTAAGCACTCTAAAACGTGTGTCAAGGCAATGATTATATAATTGCATTGAAAAGCCCACAAAGATTTTCGTGCACCTTAAGGGTACTATAATGGCAACAAATTGAGCCAAAAAAAGAAAAAAATATATTAAAAAAGGGACCTGCCTTTTTCTAGTGTAGATAATTAATTTTGAGGGCTTATGTCCATGGGCAGTGTTGACCCTTAGAATAACTGAAATCTCTAGCAACCATAATGAAATCTCTGGGAAACCATATTCGATTCTCCTTATGGATCATTTGGGAGATTTCAGAACCCATAATAGTGCATTTGTACTTTTATGTTTTTCACAAATTATTTTGGTAAACTTATATCCATGGTTGCTCATGCCTATCCCTGTTTTTCTATCCTAGTCTTATTGTTTTCATTCCACCCTCCTATGTTTTTAATGGTTTCTCATCTCTGCGTCATTCTTTAAGTTTTTGCGTAGGAATTTATGGTGCTTTTGTCATATCATTATTGTGGACACACGAAGTAACCAAGAGAGAGAGAGAGAGAGACAGAGAGTGAGAGAGAGAAATTTTGTTAAGCATCCAACCCCAATTCATTCTTTTTAAATGGATAAATGCTGAAAGAAACCCTTGACAAATACACTTAACAATGTTGACCTCATTTTTAGTGAGGTCTAGTATTTCTCGTAGGAGTTAGGATCTAGCCTTAGGGGTTTTCCTGCGACTATCTTTGAACCTTAGAAATGGGACCCGCCTCATTTTAGTTCGACCTACTTCCGTCCCCTTTTGGAGTTTCGCGCGTGTGGTATCGACTTCTAGCACTTAGAAGAATAAAACCGACATGAGGAAACCCAAAAGGGATTCCTATAGGACCTTTCAAGCCTTAGGGTGGCCTTCTGCACAATTCACACTCCCGCGCGCACAAACTTCGCAATTCGGAGAGCCAACAC